CCGCCACCTGCAGGAGGGAAAAAAGGTGCACTGCCACCACCACCGCCACCGCCACCGCCACCTGTAGGAAAGAAAAAGTTGCACCGCCACCACCACCGCCGCTACCGGGGGCAAAGAAGGCATCAAGTGGAAAGGTCGCTGCTTCTGGATCTGCCGCCCCGACGGCATCCGCGGCACCGTCGCGAGTGTTCTTTAAGGGTCCTGCGCCTACAAAGCGAATGAAGCCTCTGCACTGGGAAAAAATATCCCTTCCTGACAACGTGGAATCAGTGTGGTCGCTGATCAACGCTGGCACGCTATACGACACCACCTTTGACTACGCGGACTTTGAGCAGCTGTTCTCGCAGAAGGAAGTGGAGGCTAAACTTGTCGCTCAGCCAAAGCCCCGGAAGATTCTCCTGTTGCGAGAAGAGTTGCATCGCAACCTCTCCATTGTGCTCCATAAGCTTCCAAGTATTCCTAATGTACAACGTGCTTTGCTTGACTTGGATGCGAGTGTGCTTTCACGTGAGATGCTGACGGCCATGCTGGCGCAGGCCCCCACGAATGAGGTGCACGCGGAGTTTCTCAAAAATGCCAACAAGAAACCCGAAGAGGAGTATGAGCCACAGGAAAAGTACATGGCAATGATGATTACCATGCCGGCGTTTAAGCGACGCGTCTCTGCATGGCTCTTTTCAATGGAATGGGAAGAAAGTCGTCAGGCGGTATTGAAACCAATGTATCGCCTACAGGACAGTATGGGGGCCGTCTTGAACAGTAAACACCTGCCGTACTATCTTGGTCTACTGCTAGGTTTTGGTAATATGATGAATTATGGAGATGCACGCAGAGGCAATGCCGGTGCAATTAGTCTAAGCCTCTTGGACAAACTGGAGTTGACGAAAGACAACAAAGGGAAGTCGTCACTGTTTACGTATCTTATTGGTACTGTAAAGCTGCGCCACCCGGAGGCACTACACCTTATTGATGAGATGAAACCCGTGTTGACCGCAAGTGTGATGCAGATCAGTTGGGAAGACACGGGGATGGCCATGCAGGAGGCGGAGAAGGCGGTGCAGGTGTTCCAGAACGACTGCAGCTTTGTGAAGAGGAAACTGGTTGAGCTAGGCACGGATGCGGAGGATCCGTTTGTCCCATTTTCCGTGGAATTCACAACGCGAGTGACGGGCGAGTTACAAGAGCTAAAGCAGCACTATAGCCGCCTTGATGATACACGAATAAAATTTCTACGGTACTTTGGGGTCGTTGATGCGAAGAAGAAACCGGAAAACATTTTTTCTCCGCTCGTTCCATTTATTGAACGCCTCCGAAGGTCGGTGCAAGATATGGTCAAGAAGGAGCGTCGCAGCGCAAACAAGGGACAAAAGTTGGGGAACGGTGAGTTTGCCCACATGGTGGCGAACCTGCAGGAGCAGGTGGGACTTTGAAGATAAAAGGTGGCGCATGTCACCGTGTCATATATATATATATATATATATATATATATGTGTGTGTAGTTGTTTCTTTGTTTGATTCTTCTTCCTTGCTCGCGTGCTGGACGAACCCCTGCAGGCCTCTCTCGTCTCGGTTGCTCTCCTTGTGCGCTATTATTATTAGTCTTTTTTTATATATTTCTTTCTCGCTCTGCTTCGAAATCTCCGTGAAAGATCCCTTCCTCTCCCCCTTGCAGGAGGGCAAGCTTTGGATGAAAGAACAGTTTTTTTGTCGGTTGTTTGGACCAACCGAGCGCGAGCGGGCAGTGCACGGCGCGGAGAGCCGTTCGCTGCTGCCAGCTATCACGAGGTTTAGCGAATACCTGGACCATTTTGTCCGGATGCCGGAGATGTTGTTAGAGATTGAGTTTTACTTTGCCCTTACGATGCTTGGCATGGCGGAGAACCTGCTGTCGTTGCTGCTCCTTCCACTCAAGTGCATTGTGGCCTTCTCACGTCTCGAGCGGCGTGACGTTGTGGCACTGGTGCTAATCGCCGTTGGAATGCTCACATACTGCTTCCTCTCCCTCTACACAACGCAGCTGTACGCCTACCTCTACCACGTGGTGCGCCGCACCTCCTTCATCAAGCTTGTGATGGTCTTCAACATCCTTGACGTCGCGGACCGGCTCCTGTCGGCCCTCTCGCAGGAAGTGATTGAGGTTCTGACGATGTGCGTGCAAAATTGGGACAAGGCAAAGCCGCCGCAGCGGGGACCGGCCGTCGTGTTCGCGCATTCTCTGTGGCTTCCCGTAGGCAGCGCCGTGATCTCGGTGGTGTGCGTCGCGGTCCACGCGGTGACACTACTGATGTCCGTGGTCACGCTCAACGTCGCGGTAAACGCGGAGGGTCACCTGCTGCTGGCGCTGATGGTGGGCACCAACCTCAGCGAGGTGAAGGGGGTGGCATACAAGAAACATAACCGGGAGTCGCTGTTTCAGGTGACGGCTGCCGACGCTGTGGAGCGCCTAAAATTTTTGCTCTTTGTTCTTGTCATGGTGCTGCAGCACATGCACGAGCGGTTCCACGTGCTGGACGTCGCTGACATGCTTCTGGTGCTTCTAGCGGAGGTGCTTGTTGACTTTACAAAGCACCTCTTTGTGGCGAAGTTTAATGGCATCTCCCTCAGCGTCTACCGCAGCTACTCGCAGCTCGCGATACTCGACATGGCGGCGGAAACGGTGCTTTGGCGGCTCGGCGCCAAGTTTCATATCCGCTGCACGGATGACCCGCTGCTGCACGTCGACAACGTCAAGGCGCTGTTATCGGCGAGCGACGGCTTCTTCCCAAAGCATGTTAGACGCACTGGGTTTATACCCGTGCCCTATGCGGCATTACTGCTGTGGAGCGTCTACCCATTTGCCTCCCTCCTGCTCCTCCGCGCGCCGCTGCTGTTTGCTTTGGCTCTCACGGTTGTTGTTTTGCTGAAACTTCTCGTCTCAGAGTTCATCCGAGGTGTTGCGGCGCGATTTGTCGTGCGATCCCTTATTGTGCTGCAACACCGTGAACCTCGTCGAGGCGGTAGGGAGTCTGCCGATATCTTGTTTGGTGTCTCACCGCTTGGCACACCGTCCCCCGCGCCGCTGAACTGTGGCCCGGAGAGTGTCGACGGCGGCCCCGTTGCCACGCTGCAGCTCACGTCGTTTCTTTGCACTCTTTTAACCCTGGAGCCGTTTGACCTCCAGGCCGGGAAGGTGAAAAAGTAGTTGGTACACGCCTGTAGGCACATCTTCATTTGTGTGTGCATCCTCAACAATGTTTTAGGCGCAACTTGTGCTGCTGCATGGCGTCTGAGAGGAAAACAAAAAACGAAAGAAATGACTTTTTTTTTTATTTGTTTTCTTACATTTTTGGACTGTCACGCTTTCTCTCTGTACGTGTGTGTGTGTGTGTGTGGGCGCCTGCCTCCGTTGCGTGCCCTCCCGCTGCGTCTCCCCACGTCCCATTTGTCTGGTGGTGGCGGACGTGCGCCCTCTTTTGTGTCATCCTCGTCGTTTGTTTTTTTTTTGTTTTGTTTTGTTTTGTTATGCACGAAACTAACAGCTGTCTGAGAAGGAATTTTTTGAGTTGTTGTTTTTACTGCCATTGAACCACACGCACACAAACAATGACCATGTTGATGTTGGAGATTGCATCCACCATGCCGCTTGGTCTCTTTGGGCTGGACCAGCTGGAGTGGTCAGGCAAGGCCGGGGCGGTGTGGGAGTGCTGGAAGTGGGCGCCATGCTGTGGGGACCCGGACCTTTTGGGTGTTATTTGCTGCCTTGTCCACTGGACCTGCCTAAGCCCGTGCGCTATGTGTAAACTGTACGCATCCAGCCTGGATGACCCATGCTCCATCTGGCCGCACTGCTTCTGCATTCTCTGCTGCCCCTTCGGCTGCTGGTTTACGCGGTACAACCTGCGCAAAAAGAACGGGACCCGTGGCAACATCATCGGTGACTGCTGCTGCGCCTGCCTTTGCTGTGCCCCTTGCGCATTTTGCCAAGAACTGCGAAGCGTCAGTCCCTCTGCCTGGCGCATTTTTCCGGACTTTACAGTGTGTGGGGCCTATGTCCCGGGCTGCCGTTTCTTGCGGTAGCTGATGACACCAGCAACAGCGCCCATCGATTGCCGGCACGGTCTACTCATGCAGGAAATATTTGTACATAATATGTATATATTTATTTATATATTGATGCGTCATTTGTGCAAGGGATCCTGAAAGAGGCGTAAAACCCGTCGGAGAGTAGATGGTGCCGCGTTTTGTATGGCTTTTCTGTTTCGTGCCTGTACCAATGTTTTTTTTTTGTTTTGTTTTTGGTAACACGTTGGAGGGCGGCGCAGATGTGGTTTTGGCTGACTCCCCCTCTCCTCCCTCTCCCACTACCACTTATGACTGCCACTACTAACGGCCTTCACACGGAGGAGCCTGATAGATGTGGGGGTTGGGGGCGTGGGGGCAAACACTACCACTTTGCTAGCTTTCAACGAGACCAGTTGTCGCAGAACGTTTTTTTTTTTATTTATTGAGCGCACTAACTACCAGTGAGTGTGAAGGGGTTTGTCTATTGTAGCTGTGTGTTTTTGCTTGCCGCCATAGTGGTGTTGGTGAGCTCCGCTGTTACCTGCAACACGGTCATGTGGTTATGCGATGAGGGTGAAGAGAAGGTTTGTCGTTGCTGCTGCGCGCCATGGCGCCATTCTCGCCACGATCTTTCTTTCTTGCTCTTTCTCTTTGTGCTTTGGCCCCGCGGTGTGCGAGGCCCACATTGGGGTGGGGAGGTAGAAGCGTGCTGTCGTTATTTGGTTATTATATTCCTTGCCGCACCGCATAGCTCAGGTGCTTCCTTGGCGCGGGGGGTTGGGCGGCCGCAGCACACACACACGCACGGTAGGACACGGGAGAGGTAGGTAGAGAGGCTGTGGGGGGGTGGTGTGAGCATGGGGACGCCGGGCAACTTGTCTTTCTCTACCGGCACTCTGCTTTTGGGGCATGTGAGAAACGACGGCGTCGAAGACATCGCCTCCCTCTCGATTTCGACGCCCTGCATGAATCACCTTGGCGGAGAAGAGCTGCAGGGCGGTGCGGAGCAGCGCAGGTGCGCCGGTTTAACCCCAAGTAGTGGCAGTAGGAAGCTGCCGGGGCCAAGGGGAGGCGTCATCAACAGTAGCTTCACCATTGGCATGCGACCGCGGGAGAAGAGGCGGCCTCCCTCGCTCTTCTCCACATTCGCATCCTCTCTGCCACAGACGCTGCAACAAACGCCGTGGGGGTGGCAGGGGCGCTTGATGCCGGATCCACCGCCAACAACTGTCCCCACAATGGAGGGTGATCTACGCCAGGGTCAAAGCTCTGGCCCGCCCTCACCGCAGTCGGGGGGGCAACTCACGTGTGCGCAGCCCGCTGGGGTTGGTTGGGTGGAGCAGTTGAAGTTTACTTATCCGCAGAAGACACCGCTAGTTTCGCTGTCAGAGGACAAACGCGTGTTGCTGGCGGGTCCCTTTCGCGTCTCCAGCGAGGGATGCCTCACCTTGCAAAATGTACTGCTGCTGAACTCCAAGCATCGGAAGAGTGGTGAAGGTCAGAGCACGGAGCGAGGGACACCAAACCCGCCGTTGCCTTTAGGAAAAATGCTCGTCCCTGCAGAGCCAGTTGTCAACAGCTCCTTTACCCTCCTTTCCGCAAGCGTTGACACGCCGTATAGCCCCATTACATACTCCTTGGACGCCAACGCAGCATTGGTTCAAGACACTTCCACCTCTGCAAGTAGAACACGAGTTCAGGACAGTGTGTTTGTGACTCCACATTGCCCTCGCACAGGCAGTGAAACACTTCGTGAAAGCGAAGGGGAGGATAGCGTGGATTTCTTTTCAACACGCGGGTCGGACGATGTCTCAGTGATTAGTGTTCCGTCGTATGCAGAGATGTCTTTAATGTCTGAAATCTCGGAATCATTGCGGCCCAACGCAGTGAGGTACGGGGACCTGAAGATTATGTCGCAAATCGGGCAGGGTGCGTCGGCAACCGTTTTTTTAGCGAAGCATCTTACCACGGGGCGACGGATGGCTGTCAAGCGCATTGACCTTTCACCCTTATTTTTTGACTGGAGCCTGTCGAGGGGGAGTAATCTACAGCGCCTGACCTCCACAGCTCACCTGCGTCAGTTGCAGCTCATTGTGGTGCGGGAACTGCTGGTTCTGCATCTGGCGTACCGGAACCCGTTTATGGTAAAAGTGTACAATGCTTTTTACTCAGAGGAACTCATGGCTCTTGACCTGGTGATGGAGTACATGCACTATGGTGGCCTGGATCATTTGCATAAACTATTGTGTGGGAAGAAGCCAAAAAACGGGGCGGCTGGAAACTTTGTAGCACGGGTTGGCCGCGGCAAAGGGAGACTCACAGAGGTGCCGGAGCGCCTTGTGGCGGTGGTGGGTGAACAACTCTTGCGGGGTGTGCAGCACATGCATGAACGCGGGTACATTCATAGGGACATTAAACCCAGCAACGTTCTCGTCAACAGCCAGGGCATTGTGAAGCTGAGTGACTTTGGCCTGTCCCAGCGCTGTGACGCACGCACCGACCAAGTTGACGACAAGGTCGCCGCAGCGCACCTTTTACACAAACAACCTAACAAGGAGATGTTTTCACCTCTGCAGACTGCCTCATCGTTAGGTAACCTCACAAACTCTACTGACAACGTGCATTGCTCCGGCACAAATAAGTACATGAGCCCGGAGCGACAACGTGGGGAACCGCATGGAAAACCAAGCGACATCTGGGCAGTCGGAATGACACTTGCAGAGTTCGCTGTTGGTGAGTATCCCGTCGATTTAACTGACTGCGAGGACGCCTTCGAGCGTGCGTTTCGCATCGCGGCACCGTTGGATTTGCGGAAATACGCGCGGTCCCACTCGCTGAGTGAGGAGTTCATTGACTTCATCCGCATTAGCAGGCTGCCCGTGGCGGCCGAGCGCCCAACCGCCGGTGAACTGCTTGAGCACCCGTTCTTCCGCCAGTGGAAAGACGAGCCATTCTCCATTGAGGTTTACTTGCGTGATAACATTACGGAGTAGCAGTCAGCCCATCGGGGGTGACTTAATTCTGCGCGTGTGCATGTGAAAGGGGGGGGGGGGGGTGAACGAGGC